CGTCCACCGATCCTCACCCAGAACGCCGTGCGAAGCGGCGGACTCCCCGGCTCCCACCAACTCGCTTCCCTCCGCGTGGAACGCGAAGGATCCCTGCGTGGACGGGTGGGCATCTGTCGATGTGCCCTCATCCTCCAGGATGTCCCAATCCATGCCAACGGCTACCTCGCCGTCGTCGTCGTCATCATCATCATCATCGCTGCTCACGTCTTCCCCTCGATCCCGTGCTTCTTGCTTCCGTCGCATCTCCTTCTTCTTCTGCTCCCTGGTCTTCTTATCCAGTTCAGCCGCGAGGCAATTCCCCACCGCCAGGGCCTTATTCTTCGGCAGCGGAACCAGACTGTCTTTAAAGGCTAGCCTCCTCGGCTGGTCCCAACATCACAAAAACAAATATCAGAACCAGGGAGATTCAGGAAGAAGGAAGGTCACGGGGAGATAAGGCTTACAAATTCAAAGAACCTAGGTTCCGGCCGCATTGGGGGATGACCGGGCACCGGGTACACAATGTCTAGGACGTCACCAGCAGAATCCTTCGTCGGCTCCGTCGCCTCCTTAACGCACTGCGCCACTTCGGAATAAGGGAGCGTCTCGTCGACAAGTACCGTCCCCTCGAACGACATCCCGGGCATCATCCGATACAGGGGAAGCGCGTGCGCCATCAGCGGCGCCACCCTCCTCGCGTGGTAGGCGCCAATGATCCCCGCCCCCTTTACACCCCGTTCCTTCAGAGCTTGGAGGCCGGCAAGAAGGTCGGCAAGGTGCTTCTTGTCTTTAAGCTAGACACCCCAAGTCCACGACTTCGGAGCCTCTTCGATCAAGCGCACGGTGTACTTAGGCAGGGTAGCACTCGGGTCATCCCTGACGTAAAACCACTGCGAGTGCCATCCCTTGTTCGAGGTCGCCAGACGCATGAGCGGGTAATCCCTCGACCGGGTAGGGCGCAGATGAATGCTGGCACATCCCATCGGCACATTCACCTCCTTCCCCCCGACCCGCCTCTTCGACAAACTGATGGTGAAGAAGTATCGCCACAAATCAAAGTGGGGATCGATCCCCAGGAAACCCTCGCACAGGGCAACAAACGCCGCCATATGTTGAACCCCATTGGGAGTTAGATGCTGCAGCTCCACATCATAATAATCCAACAGCCCCCGAAGGAATCTATGCGCAGGTATGGCAAAACCCCGCTCATGGAAAACGGCGAAAGACACAACATACCCTTCGGGTGGCGCCGGCTCAGCCTCGTCACCAGGCAGCAGCCACTCCTGGACGGCGGACAGCGGACGGAGAAGGCCGCGGCGGACAAGGCCCTCCAAACGTCGGGGGGTGATGCCGGATTTACCCCACAACTCCATCGAGGCGATTGGGAGAAAGGGGGGCTCGAGCTCGACGGCGGCGGCGGGGGAGCAGGAGGCTGAAGGCGAACTAGCGATGGAGATCCCAGACGCGAAGATGAGAAGGCGGGGTACAGGACCCCGGGGGCGAACCCCGTGGTTTTATAGGGGCGACGGGTGCGAGAAGGGCAACCGCCCGCCTCGATCTCCGGGCCTGCCACGCGCGCCGTCCCGTCACGCCGCGGGACACGCGCCCGCAGTTCCTATCTTCTCCCACCATAAACCACGGCGGACGGCTCGACTTCCCCAGGCGAATCCGGACTCTCTTCCCACCCGGGGAAGCACGGGTCATAAAGATTTGTTCTCTCTCTTTGGCCCGCCTAGGGCCCGGAGGCTCGGCGGCCGGCCCAACCAAGGACGGGTCCGCGAACGACCCAAAATCAAGGGCGTAAGCATTACTGAGGTCTCGATCCGCGGTCAAGCCCCAGTTAGGCAAGTCTTGAATAAAATCCCCGCGAACGGGATGCCACGATCCAGCTAACAAGAAAACCTAAATCTTACGATCTTACCCGCGGAGGGCCCACGCAAGGGCCCGGGGACTACACCCACCGGTTGCGCTCGCACGCACCCTCTGGAAAAAGTAACTCCGACGAGATCGAAGAAACCCCCCGAATGATTCAACCCGAATCACCCAAGGGCTCGGGGACTACTGTCGGGGACCTAATACCGGGGTACCCCAAAGAGGAGGAATCAATGAACCATCGAACGGTAAGGACTCCCGAAAGCGTGGTTACATCTCTTGCCCGACCAAGCGGAAGTCTTGTTCCGCCTCGCCCGAGCGCCCATGTGCCCTTGGAACCCGCTCTACCTCGCCCGACGGCTGGGCTCGGCTTCACCCGACCCGCCGGGGGACGACTCCGCCTCGCGCCGACGGCTGGAGGGAGACTCCGCCGGGGGACGACTCCGCCTCGCCCGACGACTGGAGGGCGACTCCGCCTCGCCCAACGGCTGGGCTCGGCTTCACCCGACCCCCAGGGGATGCGCACCGCCTCGCTCGACCCCCGAGGGCTGGGCTCGGCCCCGTTCGACGCGTCGGGGACTCCCGCTTTCGCCCGGCGGGTAAAAACTAGGTTTTTACCTCATCCGAACGACCAATGACGAATCTCGCCTCGTCCGATAGCCAGAGGCTGGCCCAGTCTCACCTGACGAACCACGCCCTGTACCCTCATGATGACGATTGCAGGGTAAGACAAGACGTTCGGGTCAACCGCAGCGTTAGACGCGCCCTGCACCCCTGCAGGGAAGTACCGTCAGGATGTGACCAGGCGAGCGCTTGGACCCCTCCGGGCGTGGCAGAGCCTGAACAGTGTTGTAGGCACCGCCTTCAGCCTCCAGACGAAGAACCCGACGCAGACATACGACAACCACTACGTTCCAAGGGCAAACCAACAGTCACCGCGCCTCCCGACCCCCACGGGGTCGGGGCTCGGCAAATCCTGTCCGACACGCCGCCCGCAGGGGCGGGATGGGACGTACCCACTTGCTAAACAGTGGCCGTGGCGTGGCCCACGACGGTCTACAATCGCCTCAATCCTGACACGATCTGCCATGATGGGCAGACCAGGCGTGGGGAAGAAGGAAGGACCGGGTTCCTTGAAGGACCTTCTATGCTCTTAGTGTTTTCTTCTTCCCCGTCTGTAAAAAAACACTGCTCCCCCTTGATCTATAAAAGGGGAGGCAGGGCTCCCCACTAAGGGATCGATCAACCGATTCTGAACATGTTAGCGCACACACACACGCACCACACGGCCGAGCGCCAACAAAGCTCTTGGCATCCTTCCAATCACTCCATCACGGACTTGGGGTCTCTCCCTCTCCCAACCGTTTGTAGCCCCTACTACGAACCTCATTCGGTGCTAATAACACAAGCAGCAACAGACTGGACGTAGGGACTTTCAGCCCGAACCAGTATAACCCTTGTGTCCTTTAGCGCACCATCCGGACCTAACGCGCATCAATTACAAATTTACTCGCCGGTGTTTGTTCGAAACACCGACAACCATATTCTCGTATTGCCCGAAGTGCTCCTTTCTTCTTTCTCTATTTCTTTTCCTACTCACTCTCAAGACTGTAAAAGTATGTGGAACGAGACGACCCTTCCTAGGCTCTCGGCTTCGTATTAAATAGAGTAGGGAACAGCCCCCTACGTGGCTTGTACAACAAGATCATGTTTACAACAGACTCTTGATGAGATCTCTATCCTATTTGCATGTACACCGACGCCTCCTCAACAACCTGAGGTCGGCGCCTATACAATGAACCAAGACAGTTCTATCTGATGAACCTATCATCTAACAAAGACGACTAATCTCAGCCGACCATCTGCTACATTCCCTTTTGCCTCATGGCGGTCGCCACGCTGAACCCACCCATGGTTCATTCCTTCCATGCATGGACGGTCGTGGCTTGTCGCGGCGCGCACTAGTCTTCTCATTGGCAACCGCACAGCTACACGGGTCCCTCCCCTCAACGCCGAAGAAGGAGAAGACAGGGCCGTGGCCAAGTCCACGAGGGTGGAGAACGGTGGCACGACAACATCCGGGTCCTGGCCCGAAGGGCGGCGGTGTCGCATGCAGTTGAGATGGTGTAAATCCCTATCTCTCTCTTCTCTCCGGCCCCTCGCTAGCGTTGGAGCTAAGACAAAGGCAGTTGGGTCAGCACACAGCGACCATGGAGCCGCGCTCATGCGAGGCGAGGCTGCGAAGTTGATGAGCGTGGGGACGGAAGTGGTGCGGCACGGTGGGCTTTCCCCAAGCTTGTATGGGCGCCTTGGGCACCTCCACGATGCAAGTTTTTTCTTTGGCTGCTTCTGCAAGACAGGATTTGGACCGCGGCGAGACTACAACTATGTGGGTGGAGAAATAATTACTTTTGTTTCTTATGTGAAAGACTTTTGGAGACCTCCCTTCATCTATTCATCGAGTGCCCTTACTCAAGGAAGGTCTAGGAATCAATGGCAACTTGGAGCAATTGTACCAACCTACAACCAGCTTCCTGGACCCGGCAGAACAAGATAGAGGAATGGTTTCTCGCAATGACCGAAAGCGGCACAAAAGCAGCACACTCACTAACAATTCTAAGGCTGTGGCAGATTTGGAAGCAGAGAAACGCGGTAGTTTTCAACGGTGAGAGAAGATCAGAGCAGACGACTTTCACAAGAATAAAGGATGAATGCTTTGATTGGATCTCGGCCGGGGAAGAATCCTCCGACCCGTAATGATTGCCGAGTAATTAGCTCAACTCTTTTCATCCTCACAGGTCGGTCTGCCAAGTGAGGAAGCGCCTCTCGCGCATGTAGCCTCGCAACTTTGTACTCTTGCTTATTAATACAATGATCTTTCAAAAAAAAAGGAAGTTGAATCTCCAAAGTGTTCAATTCGTACTGATTTTACATTAATCACTTAGGTTCCGGCACCCTTCAATGCTCACTTCTGTTAATGATGACAAAATTGTACCAGAAAACCACCAGCTTGGAAGATATTCACCTGGATAAGACTCGATGTGCACAGCTTCAGACATTGGTCGGAGGTTGTAGGGCTTGAAGCACTTGTACATCTCATTGTGCCCCGGAGATCTCAATGAAAACCATCTTTTAGTGCTACTAGGTCAGAAGCATTTGAACGCGATATATAACATCAATTTCACTTGAAGTCTAGCATTGAATTTCCTGGTAACTTGAGATGGATCATCACAAACAGTACTGCCGAAGCACATCACTGCAAAGCCTGTTCCATCTTTCAGAAACAGAAGCCACAGACCAAATGAAGGCTGGTGGCATCCATCTTTCAGAATACAGAAGCTACGGACCAAATGAAAACTGGTGGCATAGCACTGTTGGTCCTACGACAGAACATAGACCAGTCACCTGAACATTGATCCCCAACGAGGAACACCATATCACTAATCGCGCGGGCATGCTCAAGTTCGCTAGAACAAAAGCTGCTTCCATGGAGTTATCGGTTATGCACCGGTGGATTAGAGTTCCAGCAGAGCAAGTCCAGGGTACTAATGTAGAAAAAGGGAAAGTACAAGATGCGTGATAGGCTTTGAGGCCATAAGTTTTCGAGTTTCACCGACCCAGAAGTGCAACACGGTCCTTCTGGATCACCTGAGCCAGGTTGTGATCAAACAGCTCACACCGAATCGGCATCTCCATCTCATAGAACGGATTCTTCAAAACAAAGTCTGTGTACAGCTCATAAATCACTTTCAGCAGCATTTCCATATTTGGAGCTCCAGTTTCACATACAACAAAAAATTTTGTCCCTGAAGCAATCGGAGCATATACTATATGTGAAACGGGCCAATTTGGGTGAGTTACTATTCAATGATTATAGATCACAATCTCAAGCAACCAAAAGATAACAGCATAATTTAACTCTAGAGATAAATCAATCGACCCCAAAGATATATCTCAGCTGCACAATGGTTCAAATGAAATTATCCATGACTCCAACAACAATTGTTTTGCAAATGGACTGTAACAGGTTTCAAAATCTCCATTTTCTACCATAAGCATTCAAGCTCTCACTTCCCCGAAAAATCTCACATGCTACAAAATCTTGCCGTTCCTTAGTTAAAAACACTGCTACTTAGCGCCGCCATAATTCTGACTCCAGTGGCAAAGTAATAGTAGATAATGGAAGTATTCCCACACACATGTAATGGTCATAAACACATAACCATATATGATTTGGTGCTATATGCAATATCAATGAGATCATCCTCTTGACATGTAGAAGGGGAGGAAAGTAAATTTTTTCAAGTTTACGACCTACTGTATACTTAAACCAGAGCTTGTAAAACTTAAATTGATTCAGTAAGTGTACCCACACACACCAAGTATGCATTAGCTCAGAACTATAGGATGCAGACCAGCAGATCCATGAGCTGTTAAGCAGTTTACATACCTGTGAGGGATTGAAAGCAATGGAGATCAAAGTTATGAGCTTGTAAGAGATCAATGCCAGTACAGCCAGGGGTAGGGGAGAGTTGCTGGGAGATAGCATGCATCGAATGCCAGAGGCTTGCTAATCTTAGACTGTCATTGGTATCCATCCTCCCTGCTGAACCATAGTCCTGGAGATATGTGCAGGTTCTTCAGATGACATGGTTGACAGCGCGAGGTCTGGAATATCTCTATAAAAAAAAAGAAAGGGGATCCCAGGAACATACCTTGTAGTATATAAGGCCACCAGATTTGTTAATGATGAAAATGTTATAGATAGCCGCTAGTGCCATAGTCACCAAAGAAGGCGGAGTAGAGATAAAAGTAAATTTCCTGTATCAGCTGCAGAGAAACATCCAGAGCCCTGTAAAATACTTGATAAGTGTAACAGTAACAGACAACTAGTAAAGAGCACTTCTCGTAGTTGTTTAAACAGTTCAACTTTTCTGAATCGATATTTTTCTCGATTGGATTAAGATCTCTCTGATTTGGATTTACGAACACCAAGCACTCAAAATGTTAATTCAGTATCAGCGCCCATTGTTCAAACTGCATAATAACTTTTGCTCATACGCAGCAAAATGCATTACTGATCATCCAGTTCATGTCCAATGATTTGATTTGATTTGGTCATGAACCAGCAAATTAATGCACTTACAAACCAATATGGCTTCATTTGTTTATAGAGAGCATCAATCTGTCTAAACTACATATCACTGAATTTGTGAATACATTTTATATTATCCTAATAAGAGATAAAAGCACAAGCAGATATCATATATTATATGTTCTCCTGTAACATTTGATTCATCTGACAAAGACTGTATTCTCAGCTATAAGGATCTAGGATTATCTCACATGTTTAGGCTCTATATGCAAGCTGCGAGGTACGACGGAAAGGTCTGGAGCTAGGTTCATATTTCGTTTTCCAAGAGACCAACACAGGGGCGACTTCAGCAAAGCCCTCGGCACCTGGTGTAGGGCAGCGGCGGCGGCGGCGGTAGCCCAACTAGAAACCGATTTGGGAAGGGGGAGGCTCGATCTGGGCTGAGACGCTGTCGGCGGTGCGATGAGCCAGGCGGCGGCGGCGGCGTACGGACGAGAGGGATGCGAGAAGAACGGGAACGAGGCCATTATAGATACGTCTAATTTTACAGTCTGACTCCAGCCTTTCTGGTCAGTTGTGCATTAGTAGTCGGCATAAAAAAAAAGTTGTGCATTAGTCACGTATAGAATTTTTTTATTTTTGCAAAATCGATCACAGTCTGATTCCAAGCTAGCCATAGTATCGATCACAGGCAGCACATACTATGAAGTGCCCGTGTGGGTGTTAATATGGAACAACCCTCTAATCAAGGAAGTTCGCTTGATAAGAAATCATCCGCAAACGGTCAACAGTTTTTTTAGAAACATTCGTGTCTGTAGCTTTCCATTTTTTAAAAAGAAATAGATTTGTACTTGCAGTTTTATGTAAGAGAATTATTCCTTTGCAGGCGTCTGCTATCTTGCGTTTCTGTCAGTCGAGGTGCTCGCGCGTCCGATCGAAATTTTATGATCCAAATTGTCCATCTTCCTTCTCCAGGCGACACCGTTCATCTTCCTCCTTCATCAGGCGGCACTGTTCATCTTCCTCCTAGTTCCAATGGGTATGGGCTTAGGGAGGCAGGTAGGTACGGCGGTAGTGGCTAGGGTTCCGACGGCCCGCGTCCCACTCTTCTTCCTCAAGTCTGGCGGGCTTAGATGGGGGTTCGGGGGGAGGCAGGCCGGCCAGGTTGTGGGGACGGCGGGAGGGCGGCGTTAGGGTTCTAGCGGCGGTGGAGGCAGCCGGGCCAGGGCGAGGCGGGGACAACGATGGCCATGGAGGTGGTGGGAGGGGGGAAGGGAAGAAGAAGGCCACCACGGGCGCAATAGGGTTTCGCCGGAACTCCGCGATCCCCTAGCTCGCCGCGGCGGGGCGGCGGGCAGATGCGCGAGGAAGGGGATGTCGCGGCGAGGACGAGAAGAAGAGCGGGGGAGCGTGGGAGAGGAGTAGGCTGGCGCGGCTGAAGGTTGAAGATGACTAACACCTAATCAAAGGAAGCCGACTATAGCAAGGAGCGGACCCGCGCCGCCCATGCTGTTCTTGATGCTAAACGCTAAACGGGCTACCGAAGTGAGTGCATTTAGGTCCCTTTATAGATTTTGGTGGTTGAATTACAAAACAATTAAAAAACAAATGAGTTTGTTGGATTTGATAGGTTTCACTGCCAATGATCTTGTCAAACTCATGTCATATCTCACATGAAGAAAAGACAAGGAAATTGATGATGCAAAATTGATAAACTCAGTGTCTTGGGTTACTTATAAGTGGGTGTTTAGATCCAGTGACTAAAATTTAGGACGTGTCACATGAGGGTATCGCATGAGGTGTTCGGATACTAATAAAAAAACAAATTACAAAATCCGTCAGTACTCCACGAGACGAATTTATTAAGCCTAATTAATCAGTTATTAGCACATGTTTACTGTAGCACAACGTTGTCAAATCATAAACTAATTAGGTTTAAAAGATTCATCTCGTAAATTAGTCGTAAACTGTTCAATTAGTTTCATAATTAGTCTATATTTAATACTCTATGCATACGTCCAAACATCCGATAAGACAGCGACTAAAGTTTAGGAGGAGGAACCAAACACGTCCCCTAAGTCTCTTTAAGATCTTCAGTACGTACACCTGGTCTTCCATTGAGCCATTGAGGTTAACTTCCCAAGTCCTTCTATTTGCATCCGTTGAGTCCAAGTCTTTGTATATAGTAGCATGCATTGTTAACCCTACTGGGCATGCTATCACCCACTCACGACAATCACAATTACTTTACATAAGGGTATTTTGTTTTGACAAAAAAATTGAAAATATAAACAGGTCTCATTGGAATGAAAACAAAATGAAATTGGGGGCATATATATTTACCAGAGGTCACATCTAGGGCCCAAAACCACAAAAAAAAAAAAAACTCGATCAGCGGTGGCTAGACAGCCCCCGGTATTCCGGCTTAAGAAGAAGATTTTCTCATGCAGATCAAAAAAACCTCGAACCCCTACCCCACCCATACACAGATACACCACAACCCCGTGATGAACTGGTCAAAGATCTGTGCTTTGGATGTGGGGTGACGAGGGAGTTTTTTTCCCCTCTAGTCGTTGCGGCCGAAGCCACAAATAAAGAGTGAGTCCCTTAGGACTCGAACTCTGACCACCTCAGGGGAGGTACTAAACCTGTACTAACCACTCGGTCAAAATTACAAAAAAAAAAAGAATTGTTCGAAATTCAGAAGTCTATTTGTATATAATTTATGTACATAATTTGGGGGTATAATAAGTTTGGTTTATATTAAACGTATGTATGTACACATTATGAGTAATATATAGAGCTCTCTCTTTTGTTAAAGACAAAAAAGAGAAAAACATCCGCTGGAAATATGTCACAACAAGGTTGTCCAAAAAATTATATCAAAATGATACTGAAAAATCTATGATAAAAGTTGCGTGATAAGTTTTGTCTGGAAAAAATGTTATATATAGAAATTATGAGTGTACATTTGTTGCTTTTTAAAAACAACGGAAAGTTGTAGAAACAAATGTTTCTAAAAAGGAAAATTACAGAGCTAAAATGGAAATTTATTATAAGAATTGAACATATTTCCTGCCTAACCAGAAAGGCTGGAGTCAGACTTTGATCGATTTTACGTGCAACGAGAAGAAAAAAATTCTATACGTGACTGGTGCACACTGACGCGTACAACACTCCTTTCCATACCGTCCACGTACGCATGTTGCGCTGGCCCTTCATACGATGATCTGGCGAATTGAGGCTGATCTGACGGCATGGAAGGGGGCCGGGTTTTGACTTTTGACGGAGTTGGAGTATGCATGCATGCTTACCGCGATGTGGTTGAAAGATGGAGCAGCTTCGTAGGCTTCCTTCTCTCGATCTGCATGCATGCACGTTGCACGGTGGCTGCCTCTATAACTCCCGTCCCTCCTATTTTCCTGGTCGCTCTTAACCAACCATTCACCGCTTTAACAAAACTCGTTCTTCACCGATCCGATCTCATCTGGTTCGAAACAACTTTCTTCTTCTCTCATCAATCAAGAAAGAAAAAATTCTCCATCGTCCGTCGCCGTCTCGAGGAGAATCGGATCGGATCGGATCGGATCGCCAATTCGCCATGCAAGGGGCCGTGCTGGTGGCCATCGCGGCCGCCATCGGCAACCTGCTGCAGGGGTGGGACAACGCCACCATCGCCGGCGCGGTGATCTACATCAAGCGCGAGTTCCACCTGGAGACGCAGCCGGCCGTCGAGGGCCTGCTGGTCGCCACCTCCCTCATCGGCGCCACCATCATCACCACATTCTCCGGCCCCGTCGCCGACATCGTCGGCCGCCGCCCGATGCTCATCGCCTCCTCGCTGCTCTACTTCGCCGGCGGCCTCATCATGCTGTGGTCCCCGAGCGTGCTGGTGCTCCTCCTGGCGCGCCTCGTGGACGGCTTCGGCGTGGGCCTCGCCGTCACGCTCGTCCCCGTCTACATCTCCGAGACGGCGCCTCCGGAGATCCGGGGCCTCCTCAACACGCTGCCGCAGTTCACGGGCTCCTTCGGCATGTTCTTCTCCTACTGCATGATCTTCTACATGACGCTGGGCGACCACCCCAGCTGGCGATTCATGCTCGGCGTACTCTCCGTGCCCTCCCTCGCCTACCTCGCGCTCACCGTGCTCTACCTCCCGGAGTCGCCGCGCTGGCTCGTCAGCAAGGGCCGCATGAGGGAGGCCAGGGCCATACTCCAGATGCTGCGCGGCAGGGAGGACGTGTCCGGCGAGATGGCGCTCCTCGTCGAGGGCCTCGGCAGCGGCGGCGACACCGTCATCGAGGAGTACGTGCTCGGCCCCGCCACGGGCGCCGCCGCCGCCGGGGACGAGTCGGAGCACGACACCAGGGACCAGGTCACGCTATACGGGCCCGAGCAGGGCCTCTCGTGGGTGGCGCAGCAGGTGCAGGGCGCGCGCAGCAGCGTGCTCGGCAGCGC